TTTCAACAACCCATTTTAGTTCATTTTTACCAAGTTAGCATTATCACAGAATTTCTATCTTAGTTCGTATTTACCAAGTTAGAGTTACAACACGTGTGATTTCCGAATTTGTATTCAATTAGGACTTTCTTTTTGAAGAGTTTTAGTAGGATTCTTAGAAGGAGTGTTCAAAGTTGATTAGGAAACTTCCTTGTATGAGGTATAAGGGTGTAAAGAAGTCTATATAAAGAGTAGTTAGGGGAGTTTATGTTTATTTTCTCTTAAGTATTTAGTGAAATTTGTTCTTTTTGTTTATTTCAGATTTTGCTCTTTTCTTTGAAGATTCTCTAGATGTGGTTTGTTTCCGTACTGCGCCACATCTCCTAAGTGGATAAGTAACTTTCCCACTAAGAAATAAAAGAATATGGATAAATGTGCTTACCCAAGTAAATGTTTCCTAGAAAACACTTACCTAGATAAATACATTACCAAGATAAGTAACTTATCAAAAGGGCTTAAATTCTGTGTTTTATGAGTCATTAGGAATAGGATAGGATGGATATGAGATATTTTTTTTGTTAATTTACACATATTACTAATTAATGAATGTSTTAGCTTTCCGGGCTTTCCTATCAAAATGACATGAACAGATGAAAGAATGTAGTTGGTTGCAATTTTGATCTTGTCACCTCAGTTATCGGAGAAAAATTAATATTAAGACACCATATGGTAAATAATTAATATTTCATTATAGATTGTAACAAAAAAAAATAATAATAATTAGAGACATGAGAAAGAAAGTAGTGCATGCATGCAGATGCACTTCAGTACTTATGAACCGGCCAAACGCCACCATGCAATCCTGACTTGTGAAATCTCTTTTAGAGCAATTATAAAACAAATTCATTTAACCAATCGAGGGCTGGTTCATTAGTGTATTAGTTGGTTCATTTCAAATTGAATCCTGCAATCAGCACTTTGGGGAAAATTATTATAAAAAAAAAAAAAAAAACTCATTTCTGAATAAGATTTTTATTATTCAGTCCACCCCAATAAATCTTAGTTTCACTATACAATTGAGATAGGTACCCGTTCAGAATAAATGCTAAAACACGAACCGTTATTGATGTTAGGTGGAAGTATTTGAAATTTTGAATTTTGAAAGTCTGGAGTGAAATTTAGAATGTGAAGTGCAGTATAGTTTATACTTTAATTTATGGACTTATCTATAATCACTAGTCATCTGATAGCTAGGTAGGTGGGCCAGCAGGGTTGTTATGTAAGCACTGCGTGCACAGGACACTTGATTGACCGTATGCATTGCTATTGCATGGTTGCATTGGTGCTGCCATCCACTTTGGCAGTTTGGCCCCGCCGCGCTCTTTCTCACACACTTTTTCTCCTCCATGGAACAAATAGGCAACAGCCCTTCTTAGAGGGACCGTGAATGTTTGTTTCCTTGTTTTGGAGTTTGGCCAGTAAATTAAGTTGCCAGGTGTAAGAATTGGTGACTTAGGAAAAGAAAATTCAACAGAGAGAGAGAGGACCGAGGACCCAGTCTAACTAAGAATGACTCTTTCCTTCCTTTCTTTAAAAGGTTAAAATATTAAGTAGGAAGGAAAAGAAACTGTGGCAGTAAATTGCTAGCACAACTACCTGGAATTGGATTTGGATTGGTTTTATAATTATTCAAAGTTAAAAAGAGAGAGAGAGAGAGAGAAGTAGACTAAACCCGCAAGGACATAGCTGGCCATGTTACCTCCTCCTACCCCCACCACATGCCGACCACGCTACTCAGAGAGGAAGAGAGAGATATTTATATTTGTGTTTGTAGCTAGCATTAGCGTGGAAACAGTAGTTTTAATAAAGAGACAACGAGCGAACAATAATAATAATAAAAGGGCATTTCGATTTTCTATTTGACCAAAAATAACTTATTGAGCTTTTTGGGCTCTTGGCAATTGAGAGAGAGAAAAAAAGAAAGAAGGAAATAGGCAAATTTAGAATTGCGATGTTTGCATGCTAGCTAGCATGTGCTGCCTCTGACGTGCCTGCCTGCTTTGCAGCCTTCATGTGGATAGTACGACGGTATCCGATCTTCTCATGTTTCTTTTCTTCCGCATATCTCTCTCTCTCTTTCTCTCGGCTTATTGCTTATTGCTTATTGCTCAAGCCAGGCGCCTTGGTTAGTCATATACTCTCAACATTAAAAATCACAAATTACCATTAATTAGCTTAGTAGCTATTGTTGTTGTTGTAACTAGTATATATCTACTGTCTACCAGCTTCAACATTCTAGAAATGATTTCCAACTGTTAACTTTTTTCTTTTAAAAGAAAGAAAAAGGTGCTCTTTCTCACACTTAAAATAATTATTAATTGGAAAGAAAGGCATATGCAGTTTGATTTTTTGATTTTTAATATTTCAATTCCAACGGCTTATAATAAAGGAACAGGCCAGATATGTAAATACTAGTTTAACTGTTTAAAGTATAACTTTTCAGCACTTCTTTTACTTCATTCTATATATAAATATCAAGTTTCTAGCTAGACTTCTAAAATAAGACTAGCTTTCGAACTAAGTTCATTGTAATATAAACTAAGCAATTCAAATTTGAATTTTAAATGAAAAAAAGAAGCAAATCCACTACTTTAACATAAAAAAAAAAAAAAGGTATTTTGAATGATCTAATGCACCATCCTACTCACTCATGATTTTGTACGTTTACACTATGTTTCTCTGATTTGCCTTTGATTCTCTTTTGTTTTTATCCATCGCAAAACCGATGGCATTAGAAGTAACTGATATTTGAAACTACGACTACGAGAGCGGAGATATTTTTCAATTCATTTTGTGTGTCAGTGTTTTTTTTTTTTAATTTTTACCAAAGCAAGCAGATAAAGAAGACCATTCGACCATCTCATCCATATGACATAACATATTGACACGTGTAATCTCCTGCATGTGGTGTTTGGTGGGCTCCAATGTCCAAATGGAAGGAAACCCATCAAGAAGCCAACCTCCTTAAAATTTCATGGGAAATGATAAATACCTTATATATATTTATACGTACCTCTATTATAACATCGTAACGGATGTTTGAAACCGTGGCCGTTTTTCAAAAAAATAGTGCTAGGTCAGATCTATACAGGCATTTCAACAAATGTTCTTGCATCTCATTGTTAGGTTCAGCCCATTATTAAAAAATTGGGCATGTCTTGAAAATCGGAACTCTATCGATGCATGAAATGTCAAATTTAGCGTTTCATGCATTGGTGAATCGTTGACGATTGACTAATGTGTATATTAATAAATATCATTTGAGATGTATACGTCAGCACATAGATGAAAAATGGTAATGAAAATCATCTTACCAAACATCGTAGTGTTACTCACTGCATACACGACCGAAATGTTTTTTTATGAAAGACGGGCCTTAGAAGCATAAACGTTTTTTCTTGAAAATTGATCCCAAAAAACTCCCACACTTCCAAACACCATGTATATATTATCATCCTAATTCCTATCCTGAGGATCAGGTGGGTTGGTTTAGCCAATTCCCACGAATCCGGACTCAGGGAACATTAAAAATACAGCACAGGAATGCTATTCTTCTTCTTCTTCTTCTATCTTATATCTTCTGCACCATAGAAATGGCAGAGTGAAGAGATAATGTATGGAGTTGATGATGATACCCTGCTCACCCTGCATCGATTATGAAAAGAACATCTATGGAGTATGGAGGGAATGAGGGATGGATCAAGTCAGGTCCCTTTCCTGTGTTTTTTTATTAAAAAATTTGCGACACTAAAGAGGTGGACTTTAAGCAACACTCCTTGGGTTCTTGGTTCGCATTATAAGGTAAAAAGGAGACAGCGCGGCGAAGTAGCCGCCACGGGAGCCGACGTGAGAAAACGAAAGAGAGAGAGAGAGAGGTGAGGTTTGACCRATATCTGGTGTGGTGTGGAATGTGGATGTGGATAGTCCCATCCAAAGCCGATGTGGTGGTAGCGACAGTCATGATTCAGTTTCAGGTTTTATAATAATGGAAATGGAGCTCCCATTGCCATTGGTTAACGTTAACTCCGCCCGCTTTCCCCTAAATCCACCACAGTACTCGCCGCTTAACCCGCCCTTTTCTTTTCTTTTTCTATCATCACTTTCCTTCTTTTCCCCCTCCTTCCTCCTACACTACTATTTTTAATCTCCAATAATAATTAAACTATTACAAAAGGCAAGATGATATACCACTTCCCATTTCGTTCTTCTTCTTTCTTTTCTTGTTAATAAATATTATTTATTTACCTTGTAAAAAAACTTCTAATCTTGAAGCTTCATTAAACTAAATTTGGTCATCTCTTTTGTTAAGGCCTTAAGCGGAAGAGACAGAGAGAAAAAGAGGATTTTGAAAGTCGAGCCAAACAGGCGAGCAGAGGAAAAAGCCTTACCATTTCTCATTTGTTTGTTTCTTTGCCTCCATCCAACACATACAATACAACCCCCGCTGGCCTCGTCTGCACTTCTTCGATTACGAGAATAGCTAGTTTGCTACAGCTGGTTAACCAACAAAGCTTCAGACGGAGGGAGAGACAGACAGACAGACGGATGAAGGGGCTAGCGTCGAACGACGGATAGGAACAAATTAACCAAAGAGAAGAAAGGAAAGAGGCCAGAGGGATATAAAAGAAACAGCAAAAGAGGGGGGAAATCAAGGTATATCTGCTGCTCTAAACCTCTCAAATGCCATAGCCAATTAGCCATCATACCATGCATCAACAATTAATATTTATCCTATCATAATAAATACCAGATCAATAGTAATATTGTTTAATTATTTAAAACGAACAAAGAGCGATTGATAGAGCAGAAATACGATGTTGAATACAGCGAAGCAGATATATTCAGACGGACCCATTAAAAATCGATCGCAATTTCTTTCTTTTTTTTTCATTTGACATCTCCGCCACTGTTATCATAGGTGCCCACTGCAGCTTTTTGTCCTACTACTCTCTCTCTCTCTCTCTCCTTTCTTCTTTTTATAAATAATAACAATCGCCCTCCTAAAATTCTCTTTTTTTATTCTCCTTTTATACTTTGGGGTTCTTTTCTATTGTATCTGTATCTCTTCCTTTCCACCCTCTCACCAGTAATGATTTTCTCGTTACGGGTATCGTTGTTGAGGAATCTGAGGTGGTATGGTTTTGGAAAAGTAGCCGTAGAAGTGATAATAGTAGTAGTAGTAGAAGAAGAAGAAGAAGAATCAGAAGAAGAGCGACATTCGATAATAGTTATTCCTATTTCTGGCACTTATTTTCTCTGATCACTAAGGCCGATTCTGAGTTCTGGGTTCTATTATTTGACATACTGGATTCTTTCTTCTTTGGTTCTTTTGTTTTGTTTCTTGGGTGGGATTTATTTGTTTTTTGATTGTTTGGTCGGGGGCTTGAACCTGAATTGTTTCGATTCTGTTTTCTTTTCTTATACCTCTACTTTTTCTGTAATTCCTCATGTCTCAACAAAGACAATTCCAGATGGTTGGAGGCAATAATGCTGGGCAGTTCGGAGATACAACATTTACAAAGATCTTCGTTGGTGGGTTGGCTTGGGAGACTCAGCGAGAAACGATGAGACGCTATTTTGAGCAGTTTGGAGAGATCCAAGAAGCTGTGGTGATCACCGATAAGAACACCGGAAAATCTAAGGGATACGGTTTTGTATGTCCAGACTCTCTCTCTCTCTCATGGCATTAATTTTTTTTTATCTTTCACTTCTTTTTTTTATTTTTTATTTTTTTTTTTTTTATAGAATATCTTTCACTTCTTTGGCTCTTGATTTCTTAGGTAACGTTTAAGGATCCGGATGCCGCAATGAGGGCTTGCCAGGATCCATCACCTGTGATCGATGGAAGAAGGGCTAACTGCAATCTTGCATCTCTTGGTGCACATCGGAATCACCCATCTACTTATCAGCATGGTCTGAACCGTATCTATTCCCTTTAAGTTCTTTCTTTTTAAATAAAAATTTCAGATATTCATTCTATGGGTATCCATCTCGTCTGTCTCCGTAGGCTTTCAATCTCACACTGAATATTGGGTGATCCAAAATGAATCATCAAACCAACCAGTAACCTCTAGTAATGCCCATGAACGCCTGGTTATATATTTTCAGAATTTCAATTGCAATACCATCTTCATCTATTCTTCAATAACGTCATCGTTTTCCAATCCATTAATTATTCATCAGAAGCAAATGTTGAAGAACAGCATGAATTGTCAACGGTATTAAACATTTCATTTTCTCTTTTAACCAAAAAAACGTAGGTATGGGAAGATTCAGACCAGCACGGGGATCGGTGGCTCTGCCCGCTTATCACGGAACCTCTTCAACGTATTTCCATCAACCAACCGCTCAATATTCATTTCCTTATTCTGCATACGGGTAAATAATAAGAAGAATATTTTTTATACGCTTGAAGAAACAAAATACTCTAAACTAGTTTGTTTTCCTTCTGCATTTGATCCTATCCTAGTTTATTATTCTGCTGTGGTTCAGGTACTCAGGATATTCACAAGAAAACACGTACCCCATGGTAAGAGTTTTCCTCCTACTAGCATACCGTAAACCAAATAGAATTTAATTTATAGTCCACATGCATATAATGGTAAGTTGTTGCATATATGTATATCTGCAGAACTATTACAGTGTATATGGAGGTGGAGGGCAACAGTTCTCGCCGTACTACGCTGCAACGGCAGCGTCACCGGGGGCGCCCGGCATTTTCCATAATTTCTATCCATTCTACGCCCAATATATACACAGTAATCAATCCCAGGGTTTCGGCATTCAGTATCCCCAAATGGTACAATACCCATATTTACCTCAGCACTACGGTGGCGCCGGTGGGGTCCTGTCAATTCCAACTTCAGTTGCTGCTTCAACAACCGAAACCTTAACCACGACGACAACCAAAGGTCCAACTTCTAAACCCAGTTCTTATTCTGATTCTTGTTTCGTTCATTTGAACACATATATTTGAATAATGTCGACTATAACAATTACAGTGGGGGTGGCAGGATCAGGTCCCAGTGCTTCACAACCCGAACAGAACACATCAACTTCACCATCGGCCTAGTTTTTATGAATGGAGAAAATCTAATTTCGTTCCATGAAGACACATATTTACAGGATTCGTCAACATCCAAAGAGGGGACACAGAAAGCAAACGGAAGAGTGTTAAAAAAATCAAAAACAAGAACAAGAACAAATAGAGAAGTGGTGGCATTGGGACACTTTATTTTGAGAGCATGCCTGAAGTTGTTGATATTTGACTGACAAGAAGAAGAAACAAGCATAGCAGCAACTGCCGGACAGATTGTTGTTAATTCATGGAACGGGCGATTGAGCTCGCTCTGCATGCTAACCATCGTCCATTCATTCATCTTCGTATTTTCGAGATAGATAGAGAACACGGTCATTATTGTCGTCATCGTTCATCATCTCTCATCATACATGGTTGGGGATTGGGGCATGGGGGATTTAGTAGGAGAAATTAAAAGAGGGAGTCTTTGTTTATTAGCATGAAAAAGGTCACATTTCTTTCTGTATTAATTAGCCAAAAAAAATGTCGAGACGAAAGACTGGTTTCGGATTCGACCCAATACTGATCTTTTAAGATATAGTGGTGTAACGTCTCCGAAAGCACGGCGCTTCCGGCGACAATTTCCCCGGCCATGTTTTTATGTTTAGTGAGGACTGAGGAGTGGGTGAGTAGCCAATTGGCAATTGGCATTGGTTCAGAAGACTGATTTTATTTCTTCGGACCACAAGTATCAACATTGGTGATTGGTTAGTCTAGGAGAAAGCCCAGCTTTGCATATATAGCTTGGCCATTTCTTTCTCTGTAATTTATCTTCTTTCTTTCTGATAATACAACAATTAATTAAAAGGAGTGGAGAAGAGGGTTTCGTCGTTCTTATCTTAGTATATCTCCACTGTGCAAATCTGCATTGCAAATGCAACCCAATTCATATGGGCTTTGGGTGTCTCTCTCTTCCTTTCAACTGTTTCAAACTTGGAGGTCGAGCACGCGGGTCTGGGTCTGGGTCTGGGTCTGCATCTGCATCAGATGTGAGATCGTGGAGAAGTTTCTAGTAAAAGTGAAACTCTGTTGGAGAAACGAATCCGAGGGTTGGGTCAAATGTGTAGATTACCGTCAAAGTGCATGCTGTACTGAAAAAGAAGTAAGTTGAAAAGGACTTGACTAGGGATCAGGAGAGAGAACAGCTTTCGCCAAGTACTGTACGCTGTAGCTGCAGGATATTTGATGTATTAGAGACTGCAATGAATTTGTTCGTCAAGACGTGACCTTGATTTGAAGAAATGATCGATATTACGAATCAAACATGGTTAGTGCAAATTTGCATTTACCGTAGAAAAATAATAATAATAAATCATGGAAAATATGTATAACATAAACATCATAAATTCTTTTGGAATCTATGGCTTAATTCAGAACTATTCTTTCAATTATTTTATTACTACTAAGAAAAATGAAATGAAACGAAAACGAATTCCTTAACTAAAACCATCACCACGATTATAAATAAAGAAACATAAACCCAAACTTATTGCTTATTACCCAAATTCCTTCTGATAGCATACGCCAGACTGACAGATTAATGGGGCCAGAGCTCACATCACATACGCCAAGGTTTAAACAAACGAGTTGGGATTTGCTCCTCAAAAATTGGTCCTCACACCCACCTGCGTAAAACGTGATAGGATCTGCTCCTCACAAATGGGTGTCTCACAGATACATTCATGGTGCATTGAGAACATCTCCCGTGAATTATAACTGATAAGTATGGGAGATGTTCCCAATGCATGATAGGATGTGCATGTGAGACGTCAATTGTGAGGAACAGATCCAGTCTCGTGTAAAATATTATTCATGAGAATATCCGGATCTGCTCCTTACACCTAGCGCCTCACATGCACATCCTACCATACATTGAGAACATCTCCCATAATTAATTATCATTTACGAAAGATGTTTCCAATACATGATGGATGTGCCTATGAGACGCCTATTTGTGAGGAGCAGATCCCGCTTCGAAGATATTCGGCTGTGTGAGGACCAATTTTGTGAGAACAAATCCGATTTTTAAATTCTCACATCATATCTACAACGATGGACGCTGCAAATTTTAGAACAGTAATTCCCCAAGAGACAGTGGTGATGACCGGAACAACTTGACCAGTCAACCCCCAAGAGACTTCAATATGACACTGACACCTTATTTGTTTTAAACTAAATTAATCGGCTTTTTGACTAGGTTTGTGTCCATATTTTATATTTTATAAGGTCACAATAATTTGCTGCGACCATGATCAGTAGATGTGGAATCGGGTGGTTAGGGTAGCAGGGCCAAGGATGCACGACACACTGGCCTGTACAGCAGCAATAGCCTGACTTAGAGGCTATTATTGTGACCTACACGGTCATAGGGGCCTTCTTAGCTTCTCGTGTGCTTAACTCCAGAAAAAACTGTAGTGCCAAACCCCACAGGCCACAACTTCGTTTCAACTTTTAAATGTGAAGTGGTTGCATTTTCCACCCTTCCACCCATCTGGTTACAAGCAAAATAGAAGACTTCAACCTACCCGAACCCGAACATGGAACTTTAAACTTCAATGTCAAGTTGTCAACCATCCACGAGGGAATAATCAAGTCTCTATGGTCCTATGGGTGTGTATTTGGTTAAAATTCTGCTCCATGAATTAGAGTTTTGAATTTGAACTTGAACCAACAACAATGATTTTGTTTTTAAGCTAAAAAAGTAACTCCAAAGAACCAGCTCTTCCAATGAGTTTCAAATCTTGAGCACCAAAAAGGAATTGCTTCCAGCAACTTTCATGCATCCAAACTTAGGTTAAAATTAATTCTTAGAACCACAAAATTCATCAGATACTTAGAATTACTCCTCTCAAACCATGTCAATGTCAAACGCAGCAAATATGGCTGGCACATAAGTTAGTGGTGCCACTGCGGCCAACTCAAAATAGCGTGTTACTTTTGCCGGCTGCTCCCCTTTAACGTCCTTGCAAGTGTATTGACAAAAATGCCTACTGGCAAGCAGGATCTCCAATTTCTTGGTTAAAACTGACGGTAGAAATCACAGAACAGTTGGTAACCACAACGCAACAAGACTACTATACTAGAACTATGCCGCAGTGCATTTAAAAGAGTTGGTTAGAAACATTACTGGAGTATTCATTTTTCTGGTCATCCCCTACAGCTGGTCATCTTAAAGAGTGCACTGATAGATAAAAACTATTTAAAAGCCTCGAAGTTCCATCCAATTCTACATACTAAAATCAACAATCCTTTAACAAACCCCCTATGGATAACAAAAACCCCAAACTAAGATGCCGAGGACAAAACTATAAATTAAATAGCGAGGCCAGTATCAGTATCGGTATGTATATTGAGATTTTTATATAGCAACGACAATCAGACTGGACACCTTCCAGATGATTCAATGCATCGGTGGGCGAGGAGCACGAGGCCGAACTGGTGTCTTTGAAGGGCTTACCCTGAAAAAACATTATACAAGAAACGTTTACCTTCATAAAATCATGTAAAAGGGTTGCCACTGTTAAAACTTAATCCACAAAGTAGCTTCAGAACCATTATCTTGAGGAACAGAAAACAGACCTTATCGGCAAAGATCCCAACACTACACCGCTACAGTTAAGGGCAGCAATTGCACTTTCAGCCTGCAATTAAGAAACAGTTAAGAATGGCATTGTAGTGATTCAATCTACACGATGAGCTTAAAGCTTATGTTAAAAGTGTATAGCGGCAGATTTATTATTGTTTAATCAAAATAGGGGCCGCATTATAATTTCACCACATTATAATATTAAAATAGGAGGATGACACTTGGCAGTTATAAGAGATCAGTTGGGATCTCCCATCATGCCAAACTCTGTTCTTGTTCTTCATTATTCTCTGCTGCTAAAGGTTTTTCTTTTATTTTCTTTATGATTCTAAGGTTAAGGTTGATCACATGGCATCAGCACCAATGCACCATTAATCACCTGAATTGATTCCTTCTTCAAAAAGATTTGCACATAGGAGTGTTCTCTGTTTGCGCATAGAGGAAGAAGGATTTGCCTTGCTGTGAGCAACCGGTTCAAGGAGATGAGGCTTTTATGCCACCTATATATGGGTTTGTTGGTCTGAATCATGTGGTGAGTCCCTCTATTTGGCAGTTCTTTTTATTAAGAAGGCAACAAAAGCTAGGCAAAGAAAGAAAAGAAAAAAAAATTGTTAAATTTCACCAAACCCAGATTTCCTCCACAGTATGTAAAATTAGGCCCCGTTTGGTATCAATTATGGGATTCTCATTCTCAGAATCCTTGTCAGAACAGAATGGATTCTGAGAATTTTCATCCAGAGAATCGTCAGATGTGTTTGGTGTAGTCATCTAACTCCTATTTCTCAGAAACAAAATCACATTTGGCAGCAACCAATTTCTTGAAATCAATTCTCTAAATAACTAATACATAAAACCATGTCAATTCTAATAAATATAAATCTAAATGAAGCTACAATAGTTTCGTAGTTATTTGATCATCAAAGTGTAAACATTTATGTTCAAGTGGCTTTGCAAATTACAACTGCCAACTTGTCTTCATATACTCTTGTGCTTCAATAGATCTAAGAAGACACGAAGTATAAAAGTTTAACAATTGCTTTTTGCAACCAACAAAGACGACAACAGGACTTCCAGAGCATTGCTTCTCTCTTTCTTGGCTTATTACTTAAAGTAGCCTCACCCGAAGAAGAGATATCGAAGAGGGGGAATGACGGTGGATTGAACCGGATTGAATCTTTAATTTTCTGTTTGGTTTATCCAAAGTTTCTTCTCTTTGATAGTTTGAATCATTTTTGAACCTAGTCTGAGTTCATATCGGTTTGATTTGTTTACATGTTGATGCAATAAAAGGAGCCATTCTGCAAAAAAAAAAAAGTTGGTGCCAATAATCATAAATCAAGAAACACTGACCAGCTTTGCACGCGAAATCTTCTGATCCACCTCTACCCGTAAACCAAGACAAGAAATTTCAGGAACATCGGCAGAACCTCGAAGCTCCTATTCCGCTTGAATCAAAAAAAAATAAAAAAGCTCCAGTTCTGATACTTCCTTTGGTTTTCTGCATTTCCTTCCAATAAGTTCCTTACATCAGCAGAACCTCGAGTCTTCTGCCCCATTCTCTCAAGAACAGATTATCTTTCATCAGTAAGACATTGTTGCATTAGCAGACAAACCAACCCCAAATTGCGGACCTATGTTCTTCTCTGGCCAAGGAGACGTTCCCCAGAACCTGTAACCCAATACGAAAGATTCCATAATCCGAATCGGAACCAAACCCTACAGACTTTAAAGCAAACAAGATGATCTCAACACCAATTTCCTTGATGAAAGAGTTCTGGTTCATGATTTCTCCTGCGCAGAGTTTCCTGAGGAGACGAATTTGCAGAACCTACTCTAGGGCTTCGTCCAAACGTGATGAATTTGCAGCTATGGTCATTGGTTGCAGGATGCTTTCGGTTACAGAAAACTCCATCGGTGGATCCTCCATTTGGGGAAGCCTCTTGCCCTTGAGGAATGTCTGCGTAGAGAGCTCTTGGAGAAGAGACACGAAGAAGATAAAAAGGATTTGGGGCTTTTGTTGAGCTGGATTCTATTTTTAACGTAAAATTACAAAAGTGCCCATGTTCGCACATGGAACATGAGCACACGTGTTCATTTTATTAATTAACAGAGGACGTAGCAAGAATTTAAAGGATGAGAATTCTCATCCTAAGAAGCGACATTTTGTGGATTTGGAGAATCACAGTTTTGGAGCAAAAATTCTATCAAGAAATGGAACGATTATTAGGATGAGTCAAACCCAAACGTCATTCTCATCTGGAGAATCGCCAGAATCGCTAGAAACGATTCTCCGGATGGATGCCAAACAGGGCCGTAGTTAATAGTCATCTTAGATTCTATTGACTCTCTGACATGGGATAGACCCATTCTTCACACTACTTTTTACAACAAAGACCAGATAAAAAGGCCATCATTACCCAATGTTGGCCTCAGTTATCTAGAGTTCTGTGGAGGGGTGGACCAGACGCAACCTTTGGCACTTTTCTGTGCGAAGTGGCAGATCTCCATAGTTGTCAAGGCAACACCTAGGAGACAAGTTAACCATGGAGGGTCACCTCGCTCAAACACCAAGATATTTGTAGTTTTGTACATGGTGCTGTGAATTATTTTATATATTTTTAATTTTTGATATTACAACAACAAAATAAATATTGTTAACCTAAATAATTCATCTTGTGGGTTTGTACACTAAGGGCAGCCCGGTGCATGAGGCTCCCGCCAATGCGGGGAGGGACAGATGCAGCCTTACCTATTCATACAGAGAAGCTGTACACTAATTTCTTTTTATTATTTTCTTATGTGTTCGGTGTCTTGAACCCTCGATAACTTCAAAACCTAAGTACCTAACCCACCAAGCAAGGAAGATCTCAAAATTTGGTCCAACCTTCTTCCACCTTTTCTTTTCTTCTTTTCCTATGACAAAAATAGAGACTCAACCCCTATATTTTCTGAATTTTATTTTCTTGCTTCTTTTCCTTCTCATGAATATATTGATTTCCTATGTTTTAATACAAAGTTTATAGAAGTCCATCACCTAGGCAATGCCTAGGTGCCCAACTAGAAAACCAGGCAACAAGACACCCCCTGTCGCTCTGGCACCTTGCAAACTCTCACCCCCATCTCCATTGCCTTCTGTAGCCCAAATACTGCTGCTGTCAATTCAGCTGTAATTGAACCCCCCTGCCCACATGGGCCTAACCACTTCTCTCCTTTCATTTCTGAATACCCCCNCCCCCCCCATACCAGATGGGCCCGGGTTCCCCAAGCTACTACCATCAAAATTCAGTTTGATGAGCCCATTCCAGGGGGATCACTCCCTTATAGTTTTCTTCTTTGAAGAAGGTAGTGCTGCAACTGTTCTCCAATTCCTTATCAAATTATCATATGAAAAGTCAGAGAATAGTTTCAGAGATTTAATCCAAAAGATCACTTTGGCTGTCACTCCATCTTATCAGAGCTCCTCTACTGTGTTGGACAATAAAAGGCAGGTCTTTCTCTATTGATGAAATCTGATTGTAGTTACTAATTAATAATAAAAATACACAACACAAAAAGGATTGACCCAACCCAAACAACACATCCAATGCACCCAACTAAGTTCAACCCTAATTCCAGCTATTTGAATTCAGCTACATAAACACTGCCCCACAGTTATCCTGTATCAAAAGACATGTCTTCTATTAAATTACAAGTCCATAGATCTTTTTTACTTGCATCAAGTCACTCTTCACTGGTACAGTTATTGGCCATCCATGCACATGACCAAACCATGTAAGTCGACTTTCACTTAATTCAGCAACCAATTAAAAACCCCGTGTGGACAAAGATAAAGCAAGTCCAAACTACCAATACAAACCATCCAACAGAACATGAGATGAATACAGCAAAGAACTACTGGTGTAGGACATGATAGGGGTCCTATAAATTTCAGATCTGATGGTGGGCTTTGTGCAGTGAAGGAGGGGCTTTAGGTGATTAAAGATGAAGATAAGAGATGGAAAATCAAGTAGAGAGCTTGTTGTCAACTGTAGAATGAGCAAAGAAATTAGAAAGAAAGAGAACTCTTGCTGTTATGATAAAAAACAGAGAGATAGATACTTGGAACTTTCAATGAATTGAATGAATCTGTTATTGATCAAAAAAAGATAGATTACTTAGAACTTAGAAGAAGAAATAGGTAAGAGAGAGATAAAAAAAAATATATATATATATGAACCAGATAAAATTCTGAACCCTTCCTTAATTGCAACTAATGCTCTGTTTGTTTGCAATGCAAATCTGAACCAGATAAAATTCTGCACCCAGTTCAGTTTTGCATCCGTTTGTAATTATGATTTACACTGTTATTGGTACTTGTCTCATTTGCACCCATAGGAAGTACAAATTTTGCATCTCAAAAACTGAAGAAAAATTTGCACCACCATCGACCTACCTCCACTCTCATAGTCTCATATAAAGTGGGGACCACATCATCTTACTTCTCACCAACAAATAAGACAGTCAAATATGAAGCAAAAATAAACCAGAATTTACACCCCCATGCATTTAGCTAGTGCAAATGAAGCAACCAAAGTGAGCTTAAATTATTGTACTTATAGACACAATATATGAGCTTGAGCTTGGATGTCCCTTCACAGACTCTAATATGGACTACAAACTGACCTGAATCAACTTGTAATTGATTTGAAACTGAGACATCCATAGGTAAACACCACAATGGCACTTAAATTACGAATCTAACTCTTAAAGAACTCCAATAACACCTTACTAATCCTACTAAACTTGATGTAAAACGCCATAAATTATTGAAAATAGTAAATTAGGATTTTACTATATATAATAATCACATGAATTACTATAAATGGTAAGACCAATAGTTACCATATAGTAATTTCAAAATAGCAGTTAATTTCTAGAAAACTCGAATGATACCAATATCCTATTACCCAAAAGTTTTGAAATTGAATTAGGCAGTAGAAATTGGAAAACCGAAGTGCTTTTCCATAGATTCTTTACTTGCTTCTGTATCTGCATCAACCACCTAACCAAAAAGGA